GACCTTCAAATAATTGCTTTTTAAGGTTTTTTTTGGGATAATTGTACATTATGCTGTTGTAACTCTAAAATATCAGGAGATATTTTGTCTCCAAGCACCAAAAGGATGATTTTTTTTTATTGATTCCCAAGTGTGCGATAATGAGGGTAACACAAATCTGGGGAAAATTATAATGACATTGTAGAATGATATCATGTAAGGATATTCTTTGCTCTAGGCCATGGCAATTCCATTTCAAACTGGCTGTCAATTTCTTTTTGTATAGACAAGGTCTTTGTTACATTTTCTGCACCTCTCCCAGGAGGAAATAGCTATGGTCCCTTCCTTTGGTGTCCACACAAGCCAGAAACCTCTCTTTAATTTTACACACAAAGGAGCAGTGGTTTGATTTTGTGTCATACAGAAGGGCAGCTGGGTGGTGAGCCCTGTGTAATTATACTTCCTTGCCCCACCGATGGTCCTGGATGACCAAGGTGTTTGGAATAATCATTGACTACATTGGGCAGCGGGATCAGCCCATGTAAGGTCTCCCACTCATGAAGGGTCAGGAACATAAGTCCAAAATACTTTCCTATTTGCCCCAGATAATATTACTGTACAGCTGATGACTACTAGCATGGCAGGAAAGATGTTCTCAGGTGTTCTTGGGGTTTCGGTTACCTCACATTTTCTTTTTTATTTCATTATTATTATTATTATTTTACATATGTGTCCTTATCCTCCCATTACCTCCTACCCTCCATGCATACTCCACCCCACTGTTATCTGTGTCCATTGATTAGGCTCATGTATATGCACACAGGTCCCTTGGTTGATCTCTCCCGCTTCCTCCCACCGACCCCCTTCTTCCCTGAGGGTTGAGGTTCTGATCGACATTACTCAGTCTCTGGGTCTGTTCTTGTTCATCAGTCTATGCCATTCATTAAATTGCACAAATGAGTGAGATTATGTGATGTTTATCTTTCTCTGCCTGGCTTATTTCACTTAGCATAATGCTCTCCATCTCCATCCATGTTGTTGCAAATGGTAGGAACTCCTTTTTTACTGCAGCGTAGTATTGCATTGTGTAGATGTACCACATTTAAAAAAAATTATATTCTATCGATATTTTACAGAGGAAGGGAGAGGGACAGAGTTAGAAACACCCATGAGAGAGAAACATTGATCAGCTGCCTCCTGCACACCCTCCATTGGGGATGTGTTCGCAACCAAGGTATATGCCCTTGACTGGAATCAAACCTGGGACCTTTCAGTCTGCAGGCCGACGCTCTATCCACTGAGCCAAATCAGTTTTGTCTCTACCACAGTTTTTTAATCCACTCATCTGCTGGTGGGCATTTAGGCTGTTTCCAAATCTTAGCTATGGTGAATTGTGCTACTATGAACATAGGGGTGCATATATCCTTTCTGATTAGTGTTTCTAGTTTGTTGGGATATGTTTCTAGAAGTTGGATTACTGGGTCAAATGGGAGTTCCATTTTTAGTATTTTGAGGAAACTCCATACTGTTCTCCACAGTGGCTGCACCAGTCTGCATTCCCACCAGCAGTGCACGAGAGTTCCTTTTTCTCTGCATCCTCATTAGCACTTGTCGTTTGTTGATTGGTTGATAGCCATTCTGACAGGTGTGAGACGGTACCACATTGTTGTTTTGATTTGCATCTCTCTAACAGTTACTTTGAGGGTGTTTTCATATGTCTCTTGGCCTTCCTTCTGTCTTCTTTCAAAAAGATTCCATTTAGGTCCTTTTCTGGTGATGCCTGATTTTCTTTCATATGAGAGCTGTTTCTTTTTTTTTTTTTTTCTTTTTTTTTTTTTTTTTTTAAATAAGTTTTTATTGTTCATATTATTACAAATGTTCCTTCCCCCCCCCACCATTGCTCTCCTCCACCAGGTTCCCACCCCACCCTCTGCCCTTTCCCCACTCCCCATTGTCCTCATCCATAGGTGCACAGTTTATGTTCAGTCTCTTCCCACATCTCCCTCTCCCCTTTTCCCCAAGAATCGTCAGTTCACTCCCCTTCCATACCTCTGATTCTATTATATTCAGCAGTTACTATTGTTCATCAGATTTTTTTTTTAATTTCCTTGGTTTTTAGATTCACTTGTTGATAGTTACATATTTGTTGTTCATAATTTTTATCTTTGTTTACTTTCTCTTCTGAAAGAACTCCCTTCAGCAACTCATATAAGTCTGGTTTGGTGTTGATGAACTCCTTTAGCTTTTTTTTATTAGTGAAGCTCTTTATCTGACCTTCGATTCTGAGTGATAGCTTTGCTGGATAGATTATCTTTGGCTGTAGGTTCTTACTATTCATCACCTTGAATATTTCTTGCCATTCCCTTCTGGCCTGCATGGTTTCTGTTGAGAAGTCAGCTGACAATCGTATAGGTGATCCTTTATAGGTAACTACCTTCTTTGCTCTTGCTTCTTTTAATATTCTCTCTTTGTCTTTTGCTCTTGGAATTTTAATTATGATTTGTCTTGGTGTGGTCCTCTTTGGATTCCTTTTGTTTGGAGTTCTGTGCGCTTCCTGGACTTGTAAGTCTAATTCTTTCCCCAGGTGGGGGAAGTTTTCTGTCACTATTTCTTTCAGTATGTTTTCGATATCTTGCTCTCTCTCATCTTCTGGGACCCCCATAATTCTGATGTTGGTTCGCTTGAAATTGTCCCAGAGGTTTCTTACATTATCTTCAATTTTCTGGATTCTCTTGCCTTTTAGCTTCTGTGGAGGAGTGTCTTCTGGCTCTTTATGTTCCAAATCTTTGACTTGATTCTTGCGATCTTCCCTTCTGTTTTTAGGACTCTGTAAAATATTTTTTATTTCAGACAATGTATTCTTTATTTCTTGTTGTTCCCTTATCATTTCTTGATGACTCCTTATTAATTCTAGTTGATTTCTTTTCATGTCCTCATAGGTCTTATCCATCTTTTCTAGGAAATTCTTGAAAAACCTTATAAGCGTAGATTTGAACTCTATATCCAGTCGCTTTTTGTCCTCCATTTCTTTCGTTTGTGATCTATTTGGTTTAGGCATTTTCGCAGGCAGCTTTCCTGATGGGGCGGGGTTTCAGGGTGGAGCCTGCAGCTTTGGCTTCCGTCAGCCCCGCCCTATGCGACTCCTGAGACTCAGGGTCCTTCAGTACTTGTTGTAAGCGCCTCTGAGAGAAAGGCGCCCTCGATTTTCGCCTGCTGCCAAACAGTCAATGCTCTCCCCCAATGAGCCCGGTATTGGGGTTCAGTTCAGTTGGAAGTGGAGTTGGAGGTGGCGTTCAGAGCAGTCTGGAGCCCCTGTCTCCTTCCCGCCAGGCAATCCTGCGGCACAGCCGGCCGTCCCTTCTCTGCGCGCACTGGGCGCCACTGCCGGGACCTCCTTTCGCAGCTTCCCCGGGTTCCGCCTGGCAGCCCAGCTCCCTCTGGCTGAGCCTGAGTCCCCGGGGTCTGGCCTAGGCCTGGGGTTCAGAGCAGTCGGGGGCCCAGCACAGTCGGAGTTTTATCTCCTTCCCGCCAGGGAACGCCCGCCAGGCACTCCGCCTCCCTCCTCTCCTGCTCCGTCCTCTCCGCGCTCCGCGTGTCTCCGTACCTTCGGCTTTTCCAGCTCCTCTGCGCTTCCTTCTGATTTTCTCCTTGCTTCTCGTTGTAGAATTTCCAGTCAGTCAACTTTCCTGTAGTTCTGGGTGATGTCCGTTTTATATTTTAGTTGTATTTTATTGAAATTGTTGTGTGAGGCTGCAGCTAGGTATTCACCTGGGCGCAGCCATCTTGGAGGGGAGAGCTGTTTCTTTTTTTGTTGTTTTATTTATTTTACTTTTTATTGTTGACACTATTACAGATGTAAAATTTGCCCACCGCCACCCATACCCCACACCTGGAAATAGGTCTTTTTATTTATTTGTATTTTTATCTATCTATCTATCTATCTATCTATCTTTTGTTCTTAGTATATTTGCTTTTTTTCCCATTTTTTAAATTTTCTTTTAAAAATTACATTTAGTAGTATATATATCTCCTATTTTCCTCCCATTGACCTTCCTCCAGCCTCCCCTACTCCCTATCACATGCCTTCATCCCACCCCCCACCTCCAATGTTTTATGTCCATAGCTGTGTTAATATGCATGCATATAAGTCCTTTGGTTTATCTATTTCTCTCCCTCCCCAACACTCCCCAGCTTTCCTTCTGTAATTTAACAGTCTGTTCAGGGCTTTACTGCCTCTGTATCTATCTTTTTATTTATCAGGTTATAATGTTCGTTACTTTCCATAAATGAATGGGATCTTGTGGTATTTTTCTTTCATTGTCTGGCTTATTTCACTTAACATAATGTTCTCCAAGTCTATCCAGGTTACTGCAAATGGTAAGAATTCCTTCTTTTCTTATGGTAGCGTAGTATTCCATTATGTAGATGTATGATAGTTTTCTAATCCAATCATCTGCTGATGGGCACCTTGGCTGTTTCCAAATCTTAGCTATGGTAAATTGTGCTGCTATGAACCTATGGGTATATAAATCCTTTCTGATTGATGTCTGTTTTGTCGTTTAGTTGTAGTTTTTTTTCCCCCATTTTTTTTTTATTGATTATAGTATCACATAATTGTCCTCATCCCCCCAATCCCATCCCAAACCCCTCCCTACATATTCCCTCACCCCTCCACCCCCTTTTAGTTATATTATAGTTTTGATATTGTGTGAGGCAGCAGTTTAGATGTTTACCTATGCCACCATCTTGGATTCTCTCTCTCCGGAGCTTTAGTTGCTGTCTGTGGAAGCCTGGCCAGTCCTTTTGTGCCCCTGCCCCTCCTCTCAGTCTTTATATGGTCTCTACTTTCCATCTTTGGTTATCAGGGTTCTCACTAGTGAATCTTCTGGTAATTATTCAGGAAGTTTTTCTGTATTTTAGTTGTAATTTCCATTTGGCCCTGGGAGCATGTTCGTACAGCATCTACTTACCCTGACGCCATTTTTAATGTCCCTGACCTGTCATTTTTTACTCCCTTGCAGCCTGATATTGAGATGGCATGGGCCATGAGAGCAATGCAGCATGCTGAAGTCTACTACAAGGTGAGTTGTCTGTCATCATTATTAAGCAGAATTGAACATGTACTGTTTGATTTTCTGCTAATCACTATTGTCACAATTTAAACAATTGTGTTTTGGAGATCATTTTTATTACTGTAAGATCTTACCTACAGAGAAAAGGGGTGTGGAAGTGAATTTTGTATTGACAATGAGGAGTTGAGCTTCTTTTCCCATATTTCTGTTGCTAACTAAGAAAAGGGTGCTGGGTCCATAGTAGGTACTTAATAAATATTTGTTGACTGAATGGATGAATCAGAGAGGGCAATAGCCAGGCAGTGCCAAAGCCAAAAGTATTTGAATTGGTGAAATGTATTGTAGGTATTATGACCCTTTAAAACTATCTCACGATTTCATCTCTAACCTAAGCTGTTTATATACTTCCTAATGAACTCTTTTGCCCCGAAAACTATAAGTTTTTTGAGGAAGGGGGAATAGAAGTGTAGTAAGTTTGAGACTAGCATATGTTTGTTATCTTAATGTCTGGCAGTTGATTTCATCAGTTGACCCACAGTTCCTGAAACTCACCAAAGTGGATGACCAAATCTATACTGAATTTCGGAAAAAATTTGAGAAACTCAGGATAGATGTATTGGATCCAGAAGAACTTAAATCAATATCAGCTAAAGAGGTAAGAATTCTCTCTCTTAAATATTGCCTAGCATATGACCAAGAATTATTGATGAATACATTTTTATACATTTAAAACTGGAGGGGAGTGTTTTAAGGAAAATAAATAATCAGGGCTCTTGTGTAGTCATCAACCAGTAAATAAGTTATGAAATGACTTTTCTTGGTTTATATTTTTTTATATGTTCATTGAGTCTATTTTTCTACCTTTTGGACTTGATCATTTCATTGCTCACCATCCAGCCCTTTCAAGAGAGGAGGAATAAATTTAGCTGTGAGTAGTTTAATCAGAATACTTGGAAGGAAGATTGGCAATTAGGGTGCAAGGGAGGTGTTTGGATTCTCTGGATTTAAGTTGACATTATCACAGGCCATGCTAAAATTTGTGTTTCTCATTGTTTACTTGATTAGCTTGTACTTTTATAAAGCACTATCTGTATCATAAAAGGCTTGTTGTCATGACGCCACTATGGCATCATGACCAAATGATGGGTGTTGTGTGTTCATTTTAATTTGTTTCCAGGAAGTTTATAATTTCTTTCTTGATCTCATTGGTAATGCATTTATTGTTTAATAACATGCTATTTAGCCACCATGTGTATGAGTATTTATGGGTATTTTTACTGTAGTTGATTTCTCATTTCATTTCACTGTGTTCTGAGAAAATGCTTGATATGATTTCAATCTTCTTGAAGTTGAAGAGACTTGTTTTGTGTCCTGACATGTGATCTATCTTTGTGAATGGTCCATGTGCACTTGAGAAGAATGTGTATTGGGATGAAATGTTCTATAAATGTCAATTAAATTCATCTGATCCAGTGTGTCCTTTAGAGTCACTGTTTCTTGTTAATTTTTTGTCTTGAAGATCTATCCAGTAAAGTCAGTGGAGTTTTAAAATCCCCTACTATGATTGTATTGTTGTCAATTTCTCCCTTAAAGTCCTGTAAAAGTTGTTTTATATATTTGTGTGTGTGTGTGTGTATTTTTTTTAATAGGGTTATATCCTCTTGTTGGATCAATCCTTCTAGAATTATATAGTGACCTTTGTTGTCTCTTGTGATGGCCTTTGTTTTGAAGTTTATTTTGTCAGATAGGTACATTGCTACCCCAGCTGTTTTATATTTTCTATTTGCATAGAAAATTTTTTTCTATCCCTTCACTCTCATCCTTTATGTGTCTTATTCTGAGGTGGGTCTCTTGTAGATAGCATATAGTTGGATTATATATTTTTATCCATTCAGCTACCCTATGTCTTTTGATTGGAGCATTTAATCATTCTACATTTAAGATTATTATCAAGAGGCACTTATTTATCGCCATTTTAATTCTGTATGCCTAGGTTTCTCTCTCTATTTCTTTCAATATGAGAGTCCCTTTAGCAAAATTTTTAATACTGACTTGATGGTGATAAACTCCTTTAGCCTTTTTTGTCTGGAAGCTGTTTATATCACCATCTATTTTTAAAAAAAATATATTTTATTGATTTTGTACAGAGAGGAAGGGAGAGAGATAGAGAGTTAGAAACATCGATGAGAGAGAGTCATCAATCAGCTGCCTCTTGCACACCCCCTACTGGGGATATGCCTGCAACCAAGGTACATGCCCTTGACTGGAATCGAACCCGGGACCCTTCAGTCCCCAAGCTGACACTCTATCCATTGAGCCAAACCGGTCTTGGCATATATCACCATCTATTTTGAATGATAGCCTTGCTGGATATACTAATCTTGGTTTCCATTACCTTGAGTACATTATGCCATTCCCTTCTGGCTTGTAGAGTTTCTTTTTTTCTTTTTTTATTTTTTTTATTAAATTATTATCTTTGTACATATACCATTGCCCCCCCACCCCCATACATGCCCTCCCTCCCCAGAGTTTTGTGTTCATGGGTTGTACTTATATGCATGTATACAAGTCCTTCAGTTGATCTCTTATCTACCCCAGATCTTCCTCCTCTCCCTGCTGTAATTTGACAGTCGGCTTGTTGCTTTACTGTCTCTATATCTATCTTTTGCTTCTTCAATTTATAATGTTCTTTATCATCCACAAATGAGTGAGGTCATGTGGTATTTCTCTTTCATTGACTGGCTTATTTCACTCAGCATGATGTTCTCCAATTCCAGCCAAGTTGCTGCAAATGATGAGAATTCCTTCTTTTTTATGGCAGCATAATATTCCATTGTGTAGATGTACCAAGGTTTTTGGATCCAATCATCTGCTGGTGGGCATCTAGGCTGTTTCCAAATTCTAGCTATTGTAAATTGTGCTGCTATGAACATAGGGGTGCATATATCCTTTCTGATTGGTGTTTCTACCTTCTTGGGACATATTCCTAGAAGTGGGATTACTGGGTTAAATGGGAGTTCCATTTTAAGTTTTTTGAGGAAGCTCCATACTGCGAGCATCTTGGATTTGTGTGGGTTTTTTTCTCTACCTCAGGAAAGTTTTCTGTCATTATTTCTTGAAATACGTTTTCCATATCTTCCTCTGGAAACATTTTCCTTTCCTTAGGGAACCCCTATTATTCTAATATTTTTTTGTTTCGCATTGTCCCAAAGTTTCCTTAGACTTTCCTCCAGCTTTTTAATTTTTTTTTTTTTTTTTATAGAAGCTGCTCTAATTGGGTATTTTTGTCCATCTTGTCTTCTAGCTCACTGATGCGGTCCTCTGCTTCTTCTAGTCTACACTTGATGCTTTCTATTGAGTTCTTCATGGTAGTGATGTCATTTTTCATTTCTTCTTGATTCATCTTCATTTCCTCTTGGTTCTTCTTCATTTCCTTTTGGTTCTTACTCATATTGTAAAATTTCTCTTCCATTCTTTTTAGCCATCTTATGATCATTACTCTGAATTCTTGCTCTGGTAGGTTGCTTGCCTCTAACTTGTTTACTTCCTTTTCTGGTGATGCCTACTTTTCTTTCATTTGTGGGCTGTTTCTTTGTCTCCTCATAGTCTCTCTTTTAGGATGTCTGGTTATGTAGACTCTCTCTCCTGCTTTGATTTAAAGGCACAAAATACACACTACCAGGTACAACACACAAGGCACTGAACAGAAATGTATTTGCGATATTAATAACCTCCAATAAAGGTGACCACTAGGGAAAGGCAAATTAGGGAATAGGAGAGAAAGAGGAATAGTAAAAAGAGAAGAGGGAGGGAGCAAAAGAAAAAGATAGGGGAAAAAAAAAAAAAAATATATATATATATATATATATATATATATAGTGTCGAAATGAAATTGCGAAATAGGGAGACAGAGAGAGAGAGAGAGAGAGAGAGAGAGAGAGACTGACTTAGAAATAAATGGGGAATAAACTATATATGTGGGGAGAGTATTTCAATAGAACAACCACTAACCCCAGCAAATGCTGGCAGCAGTACATTCTACAACACCCCCTAATTTCCAGCAAAGGAAGGGAAAACAGAGGTAAAAAAAAAATCAAACAAAAACCAATCTAATAAGAAAATACCAAGCAACAGCAACAACAAAAGAATAAGCAAAATACTCTCACTAAAAAGCATAAAAATACAATATAATCAACATTCCCCTAAACAGCATCAAAAGGACAGTGAGAAAAACAATTTTTTTTTTTTGGACTAGTTAATACAGCTCAGAGAGGGGCGTGTATGCACTTAGCACAGGGGATTGGAAATTAGATATATAAGTAGGGTAGAAATTTTAGCAGGGGAGAGACAGAAAGAGTAAGGAAATCTAAAGCAGGAAAGGGTTAAGATAAACAGGATAGCAAAAGGGGGAATGTTAGAAAGAGAGAGATGGTCTAAAGGTCGAGTTGAGATAGGGTTAAACAATGTTAAAGGAGAAATGAAAATAAAATGAAGAAAACTAATTCCAATGTAAAATAAAGAGAAAATAAAATGGCACTTAAAAAAATTAAACTAGTAGTAGTAATAATGCTGATTGAACCTAAAAATGTAATAATAAAAAGTTAAAATCAAGTGAGGAAAAAAAGGAAAATATTTGTTTCTTAAATAAAAGATGCAAGAAATGAAAATAAAATAAAAAATAAAAGATTTAGCAAAAAAAAAAAAGGGTGCAGTTGTGGAGGCCATTCACTTCTTCTGTTATTCTGTTTGGTATGCCTGTTCCAAACAGTATTGCAGTTCCCTGCGTTCTGCTGCACCTCTGTGTTGTAAACCAGTCTTTAATTTTAAGATGGCGATTCCTTAGTTTCTTGGTTTTTGATCAAATAAAACTAGTAATAAACACAGTTTGTACTCCAGCCCATAGGTGGCAGTGTTTCTGGATTGATGGTCCTGTCTTTTTGGCTGCTCTAGCCTTCTTTTTCTATGGCACTCAATACCTTTTTTTTTTTTTTTTTTTTTTTTGCCTGGGAGCTGAATCCTGGATGATTTCTTCCCGCTCTGCTTCTCAGCTTCCAGAAAAGCAGTTTCCCCCTGCTGTCTCTTAGGGTCAGCCAATCTGGGTGATCTCTCCTTTGTAATCAGAAGCAAAGGGTTGCAGGGGAACCAGCCTAGGTGCGCGATGGGCCAGTCTGTGCGCACTTACAAACAGACTGCTTTCCAACTCCATTGTTCTCCCTCCGTGTCGGATCAGAATGGGTTGCTCCCTAGAGAACCCCACTATTAGCAACCTTGGGGACCCCTGTCCACTCTCTTAAATCACGCCAGTCCCAACAGTGGGGGCTTTTGTGGACACAGATTTCCGCGGTCCCACTGTGTGCTTTTGCCTCTGCTGCCACAGCGGCCGCAGCTTCTGCGGCTGCCGCTTTCGCTGTTGGGACACAGACACTCCACGTTATCCCCGGCAAAATCCAACCTTTCTTTGGAATCCGCGTGTCTGCACCGGTCGGGGCCCCCACAGTTGTGTTTTTTTCAGGTCTCAGGTAAGATCCCCAGCTGCAGCACTGATGTGGTTGTGAGAGGCAGGAGGTACAAGTGTTTACCTGACGCCATCTTTCCAGAGCTCCTGGCCTGTAGAGTTTTTTATGAGAATTCAGGTGTCAGTCTTATGGGAACTCCTTTATATGTAACACTAGTGGCCCAGGGCACAAAATTCGTGCATGGGGGTGTGTCCCTCAGTCCAGCCTGCACCCTTTCCTATCTGGGACCCCTTGGGGACAGTTAGACATCCCTCTCACAGTCCCGGACCATTGGCTCCTAACTGCTCACTTGCCTGCCAGCTTGATTGCCCCCTAACCACTCTCCTGCTGGCCTAATTGATTCCTAACTGCTCCCCTGCTGACTCAATGGCCCCCAACTGCCCTCCCCTGTTGTGACCCACCACCTCAGCTGGGACTCTCCTCCTCCAAGCGAGGTAGCAGAGATGCTGGGACCAGCCTCCTCTGTGCTGTGAGGAGCTGTGGAACATCCAGGCCTCACCATGCAGAGCAGCCACTGGGCCCCGCCTCCGCTGTGCTGTGGCAGCCATGCTGTGGCAGCCATCTTGTGGCAGCCATCTTGTAGCCATCTGGTGATGATGGTGCACACGGACCACCTTGGCTTTTATTAGTATAGATATTGCTTTTCTCTCACTGTCTTTAAGATTATCTTTGTCTTTAATTTTTGGTATTTAATTGATGGTGTGTCTAGGCATGGGCCTGTTAGAGGTTTTCTTACTTGGGACTCTATGTGCCTTCTGAACTTGTGTTTTTTTTTCCTTCACCAGATTAGGGAAGTTTTCTGCCTTTTTTTTCTTCAAACATACTCTCTATTCCTTGCTCAATTTCCTTCTTGCCACTTATTATGTGAATACTGTTAAGTTTCATCGTTATCTACTGCTCCCTTAAGCTATACTATTGTTTAATTGTTTTGGGGTTTTTTTTTTTTTGGTTCTCTGATTGCATGATTTTTTTCCTATCCTATCTTCTACTTCATTTATCTGATCCTCAGCTTTCCCTTTTCTGTTGTATTTTCATTCCACTATGTTCTTTATTATTGCTATGTCATTCTGCACAGTTATATCTTTTCTTATGCCATGATCATCTTTGCCATCATTATTCTGAGCTCTATGTCTGATAAATTTCTTGTCTCTATTTCATTAGCTCTTCTGGAGAATTCTCTTGTTCTTTTTGGGGATTGTTTTTTATTTCCTCATTTTGTCTGTCTGTCTAGTGCAGGACAGCATCAAACTGTTTCTGACTGATTAGGCAAAGACTCAAAGCCTGCTAGACCTGCCTCTGCCTGCAGACTGTGTGGATTCAGTCTTGGGTAGCCTCAGGCAGTGATCCACAAGTGTGAGTTTTCCAACAGGATGTGTTAATTGCTTCTGCCTGGAGCTAATTGTTATTCTCAGTCTTTTAATGGGCCTCATAAACTCCACTGTGCGGAGCAAGGGGTTTTTCAATATGATTGGGTATCTGTATTCCCCCACAAGGCAAAGACTGCCTGGATACCAAAGGTCTGCCTGAGAAAGATGTCCTCCACAGTGTGAGAGAATGACTCAGCACAGGAAACTGGGGTGTGTGCCCCATCCCTGTCTCCTGCTCACATAGCTCCAGGCCACTCTGCCCTCCCTTTACTGGCTGCACACAAAATTTTGTGCTTTGACCCTTTAAGAGGGTGCTTGACTCCTTGGCAGACAACAACCCTACTGTTTTTCATAGCCTGATGTTATGTGGGCATTTTTTTTTTTTTTTCAGTTCTGTTGCTCTTTGCTGGGGTACCTAGCTTGGATTTTATACCTCAGAGTTTTTATTTATTTATTTATTTATTTTTAAAATATATTTTATTGATTTTTTACAGGGAGGAAGAGAGAGGGATAGAGAGCCAGAAACATTGATCAGCTGCCTCTTGCACACCCCCTACGGGGGATATGCCCACAACCAAGGTACATGCCTTTGACGGGAATCAAACCTGGAATCTTTCAGTCCACAGGCCGACGCTCTATCCATTGAGCCAAACCGGTTTCGGCATACCTCAGAGTTTTTATTTATTTATTTATTTATTTAAAATATATTTTATTGATTTTTTACAGAGAGGAAGGGAGAGAGATAGAGAGCTAGAAACGTCGACGAGAGAGAAACATCGACCAGCTGCCTCTTGCACACCCCCTACCGGGGATGTGCCCGCAACCAAGGTACATGCCCTTGACCGAATCGAACCCGGGACCTTTCAGTCCGCAGACCGACGCTCTATCCACTGAGCCAAACCGGCTCTGTCACCTCAGAGTTTTTAGTCGCAACTCCCAATAGATGAGATATCTATCTGGAACTTCAGCTGCTGTTTGTGGGAGCTTGGGGAGCCCATTCTCGCCTCTGTCCTTCCTACCTGTCTATGCAGTTTCCACTTTTCTTCATTGTTTATCAGGGATCTGTCCAGCTAGTCTGCAGTGGATTATTCAGGTGAGGCATCTTTTTTGCCTTTTTTAGAAGTGGAGGCCATTTTGTTTGAAGTTTGATGGGGTTATAGAAGACTTCAACTATGGTACTTTGCTGCGACTGGATTGTTCTCAAGGCTACACTGAGGAAAACACTATCTTTGGTGAGTTTCTTGCCTCTTGAATTGTTTCTGTATAAGGTGAATGGAAGATGTGACTTTACTGATGAATAGTTTATATAGATGGTTAATTTGGGATCATCTTATTTGTTACTAGTGTCCCCGTACATGAATTTGTGCATGTTGAAAGGAAATTAATTAGAATAAATATTTTAATATTACTATTCGCCCTTTCTCTATATGATAGAATTGTCAACCAAATTCACGATTGACAATGACAGATGGAAACACGTGTGTGATTGGTGCCAGTGAGAGCTTTATATGTATCAAGCATGCACAAGTCAACTTAGCCTTTTATAGATATAGAACAAACTTGCTTATTAATTAGACCTGCTATCTGATTTAGCTAAACTTTTCCAACCCAATGAAGCACCCCAACTTCTCTTTCAGGTAACCCCAACTTCTCTTTCAGCAACACAGCAGTAAATATCAATACAAAGCAGATTATTATTGTAGATCACACAGGGAGAACAAAGGGTAAAATATTTAACTGCAGCAGTGTTTGACTATATTCTGTGCAGTGAGAAAACCTGAAGTCATTTTCCAGGTTCACAGTTTCTTTCTTCTTTTCAGTTGGATCAAGTTTCTAAGCTTTCTAAATCTCTGTTTTCTGGCTAATGAATGGAAAATAGTATTCCATCAAGTATCCTATCTGCCTATTCCAGGACTTCTGTGAGGATCAAATGAGATGAGACATGGGAAAACGTTCACAGATAGTTGATTACAGTGTTAAGTGTTTCCATCTGGTTATAAAGCAAGTCGTGTTCCTGGGCTAAAGAAACTGTAAGGAGGCTAGTTGTAGCTAGGGAGAGGAAGCCTGGTGTTGCTACGTGAAGTCATTACCCAGTCGAAGGGAAGGACACTTAGCATATTAGCCTTTTATATATTGATATAGATATAGATATATCTTTAAAGATTATGTTACTCTCTGGCTGGTGTGACTCAGGTGTTGAGCATTGACCTATGAACCAGGAGGTCACGATAGTGTATACTAAGGTGACCAGATGTCCTGCTTTTGGCGGGACAGTCCTGATTTTTAACAATTTGTCCCACATCCCGCAGCGTTTTAAAAAAGTCCAAAAGATTTAAAAGATTCTTTCCAAAATTCAGGACTTTTTTTTAAAAATGCTGCAGGACGCGGGACAAATTGTTAAAAATTGGGACTGTCCTGTTAAAAGCGGGACGTCTGGTCACCTTAGTATATACCCAAGTTTCAGGCTGAATCCTGATGGTGGTGGGGGGGTGGTTTGCAGCAGGCAGCCAATCAATGATTCTCTCTCATCATTGATATTTCCATCTCTTCTCCTTTTCTCTGAAATAAATAAAAACATATTTTTTAAAAAAGATCATGTGATTAATTCTTGTATAACTGTGAGATAAGATAGTCAACTATTTTCAGCCTTATTTATTATAGAATTAAAATTTCACATCTCTGAAAATTATTATTATATTTGAATACTTTACATGTTAGTTAAGGTTTGTCAATCGATTTCCAGTAGGTCTAGGAAAAGTGTCACCAGGACAATAATAAATCCTATTCACTTTCCAGCCCCCAGGATACAATTTTTTGCCATTGAAATTGCTCGGAACCGGGAAGGCCATAACAAAGTAGTTTACACCAGTGTTCAAGACAAAGAAGAAGAGAAAGGAGCCAACAGAGGAGAAAAGGAGAAAACCAGCAAAGGAGAAGAAAAAGAAAATGAAGCCAATGAAGGAATCAACAAACCTGGTGAAACATCTATGTAAGGTAGAAAGGGAAAAACACACTAGAAACTGTGACTCAAGTGAGTCTACAAGTCCATGATGTTACTTATACAGATCCTGTGGTTAAATGTATGTTCTTATTCAATTGAAGGAAATGTAGAAGGACTTTTTTCAAGCCTAATTATCAGGAGCTGCTCTGGTTGTTGTGTTTTATGAAGTGGGTTAAAGACTCTTTGTGGGGTCATAGTTGACTGTTTCTTGGTTTATTTTTTCTTGGTTCTTCACTGGTCAAGTAAGAAATTTTGTAAATAAATTTATTTTGGTTCTTATGACTGTCTATATCTGATTATATTTTAAAAGGTATTTAAAATTTTTTGACACTTTAATCTCTATCCTATAGCATATATAAAATGATCAATGCTTGTTTCTACTAAAATTTTTTTAAAAAAATTACAGTCAACATACAATTTCATAGTAGTTTCACATGCACAATACAGTTAGACATTCATATAACTTACATAGCAGTCACTCAGACAAGTTTAGCATTAATCTGTTACCACACATAGCCATTACATTATTATTGACTATATTCCATATGCTGTACCCTACATTCCCATGATTTTTGTAACTACCAATTTGTACTTCTTTTTTTTAACATATTGATTTTGTACAGAGAGGGAGGGAGAGAGATAGAAACATCGATGAGAGTCATCGATCAGCTGCCTCTTGCACACCCCCTACTGGGGATATGCCTGCAACCAAGGTACATGCCTTTGACTGTATTTGAACCCGGGACTCTTCAGTCTCCAAGCCGACGCTCTATCCATTGAGCCAAACCGGTCTCGGCCCAATTTGTACTTCTTAATCTCTTCCACTTTTTCACCCATCCTCTTAGCCCTGCTGCCATCTAGCAATCATCAAAATGTTCTCTGTAACTATGAATTTGTACTAATATATGTTTTGTTTGTTCATTTATTTTTTTTTTTAGATCCCACATATCTGTGAAGTCATATGGTATTTGTTTTTTTCTGTGTGACTTATTTTGTTAGCACAATAACCTCTAGATCCATCCTTATTGCAGGTAGAAATATTTCATTTTCTATGGCTGAGTAATATACTACTATATATAAACAAGTGCCACTTCTTTATCAATTCATCTACCTTTTTTTTTTTTTTTTTTTTTTGTCTCAACAAGGGTTTACTTTGATGGATCTAATCTGCACAGGTACACTATGCTCAGATTTTACTAGAAAGAAGTCACTTGGGTTTTTTTCCCTTTCTTAGCACAGCACAAGCCAATGGACAACTAAACATCAGACCCATTGTTGAATAGAAGGGAGGAGCATCAGACACAAAATTCAGGCCCTGGTTTTATACTTTAATACTTTTTTTTCCCTTTCCTCAGTATTCACTAAATAGGATTAAAAATTTTTTTGTAGCCCTAACTGGTTTGGCTCAGTGGATAGAGTGTCGAAGGGTACCAGGTTCGACTCCAGTCAAGGGCATGTACCTTGGTTGTGGGCACATGCCCAGTAGGGGGTGTTTCAGGACGCAGCTGATCGATGTTTCTAACACACTATCCCTCTCCCTTCCTCTCTGTAAAGAACAAAAAAACAAAAACAAAACACCCACAATAAACTATATAGTTAAAAAAATTTTTTTTGTAGCTTTTTGTTTTTCCTTTGTATTTATCGTGTTTTTAGTTTCTTCTCTGAGGAGGAATTCTCTGAATCTGTATCTTCCAATTCAACTCAGTGCCTTTTGAGGCCACCATGGCCATGAACAGCCCTGCTGCTGTCTATGCCTGGGGGGTTGGGAGGGTCCTCTCTCATTCTAGCACTGGGGGTCTCACAGGCCATTTCAAACCCACAACAATCTTTGTGTAGGAGTCCCCCTATCAGGGACAAATTATGGTCAGTGTCTGAATGTCCTGGAAAAGAGCAGGCCACTGCTTCCAGCTCCCCAAAGTTCTGTCCATTGTTGTAAGGGTGAGGGAGGCGAGGGTATAAGCGTCCATTATTGTGTTTGGCACAGATGGTGTCAAGGCTTCTCTCTTTGCTGCCTGGGACAGTTGCTGGATTCACTGTTGAGTAGAGCCAGGTGCCTTGGGGACACGAGGAGAGGATGGCTCCTCGGCCCAGCTGCTCGGCCTTGCTCAGAGCCTTTCCATTGAGCTTCTTGATTTCAAAAGAGTGTTCTATGGAGCCACCATTGTTAGTGTCCTGAGCGGTGTCCTCTGGTGCTTCTGCCCAAAAGTGGCCACTGTGCTCATGGCCTGGGGCAATGCTGGGATTTTTAGCGGAAGTCCCTTCTTTTAAAGCATCCTTGCTGTGGCCTTCAGGGAGTAGGTTCTGGTTCCTTTGGGCCCCCAAGGTGTTTAGACAGGTTTCCTTACTGGAAGAAGGGCCTGGGCTATACTTATGAATGGCTCCTACTCTCCCTTCGTCTGCTTCCCCAGACACCAGAGAGCTCTCTCCGTCCTTATTTGAGTAGGAGATATTGGAATAGCCGAGCCAGTTGTAAGCTTTATAAATCTTGCGCTCAACTGACTCAATGTCAAGTTGATGATGCCCAGTTTGGCTGCATCTCCAGAGCGGAAATGCTCTGCTCAGGAGAGTAGGTGTGGGAGGAAGAGAGGTCATCCACTTTGATCTGGGGATAATCATAGTTGTCTTCTCCAATGTAGGTGTTGCTGGGCTTGGGCAGAGCAGCGGGCTTCTCTTCTCGGGGCGCCTTTTGCCGGCGCCACATGGCATTCCGCTGCCAGGTGGATGTTCGGGGTTCATTCAGTCCCTCCTCGTCCTCGGAGCTACTAGAGCTGCTGGACTCATCTTTGGGGCTGGGCGACCGAGGCCGGGGGAAGATATCCGTGTCCAGTTCAACCTCACAGGCATTTTCTTCAGAGTCCGACTCATTGGAGAGCGCCAGGAGGCGTTTGTCCTGGTGTCGCCGCAGAGATGACAGGCGCTGCTGGCGGGAAGTTGCGTCCTCGCAAGCGGGTGGCGGAGGAGTTGCGGCCACTGTGTTCGAGGTGGTGACCCGCAGGGGCCCCAGGTGGAAGGCACCGTCTGCAGATTTGTCCACTGTAGGTGGCGGGGACCGAGGCAGCGAGGCTGAGGACTCGGGAGTCAGTATAGCCTGAGCGCTCGCTGACCCCTGCGTGCAGCTGGAGGATGGTGCTCTTGCTCAGGTCGCTGTCGGAGTCAGAGCTCCAGCCCTCAATCTCATGATCTCACGATCTCACGGCGCACCAACGAGTCAAAGAAGGCCATCATCCGGGGGTCCTCCTGCACTGACTGGTTGGCATAGTCGTGTGACAGGCCACTCCCACTGTTAAGCACGAGGCTATGCACTCTTCGTGCGTGTAGACACAGCGGGAATCATCCTCAATCTGACCATCGAGGTCTCCTGTACATCCTGACTGCTTGTACGGGCTCTAGATTTTTTTAAAAAATATATATTTTTCTATTGATTTTCCACAGAGAGAAAGGAAGAGAGATAGAAACATCGATGTGAGAGATTCATCGACCAGCTGCCCTCTGCACAACCCCTACCAGGGATGTGCCCACAACCAATGTATATGCCCTTGACCGGAATCGAACCTGGGACCTTTCAGTCCACAGACCGATGCTCTATCCACTGAGCCAAACCGGTTTCGGCTGGGCTCTACATCTTGATAATCTTTTCTACACCAGAAGAGCAGATCATGTAGGTGTGGGGGTTAAATCGGACCTGGTTAACAATAGGCCGATGCCCTTTCAGCACCAGGAAGGCTCCATTGACCACTCTACCAATGCCACCTGCTTCTGGATCTTCAGGAGTTCTCCACATGTACACGTTGAAGTCATCAGAGCCTGAAAGAATATACCGATATGATCTCCTGCAAAACAGCAGCTTTTCATGGTACAAGAGTTGAAGTAATCTTGATTGTCAAACTGGAACACAGGCAGGCGGGAATGGATTCATAGAGCATATGAGGCAGGTGACGCCTCAGGGCCAGGAGCCGAGTCCCGTTGCTATTGAATCGCACACTCATTTCAGAGAGAGGAAGGGAGAGGGAGAAAGAGAAACATCAATAATAAGAGAATCACTGATCAGCTGCCTCCTGCACGCCCCCCACTGCAACCAGGGCATGTGCCCCAACCGGGAATTGAACAGTGGCCTCCTGGTTCATAAATTGACGCTCATCCACGGAGCCATGCCAGCCAGGCAGTACCATATATTTTTAAATATATTTTAAACAGTCTACATATACTTCATAAGTAGGATCTCAATTACTAATCCAAAGTGAGGTATGAAGTCATTCACAGTTGAGAACACTGAGGCTGAGAGAGGTTCAATCACTTTTCAACAGTCACACAACCAGAGAGTAGTGGAATGAGGATCCAAACCTGACTCTTAAACATGGCATTAAGCCATACTTCCCAGTTTCAATGAACTCACAGATCCTGGAGGCAACAAAAATGTTACAACTATGAGGCCATGGAGTCACTACCACAGAAAGGACATGAAATAGGGGCTGGAAGCAGGGGCATTAACACATACATGCAATAGAATGGAGATCACCTCCACAAAGCTATAAACTACTTCTTGGTCCTTTCTAACCCCTGTCTAGAAGCAAAACCCTACATCCTCCACTAGCACTATCTGTTTTACTGCCCCCCTACTTCCACCTAGGATCGTCCACAGTAGCCTAATTTCTCCTCCCCAGCCCATGCCATCTTCCCCAGCCTCCCATCTGACCACAGAAAAGTATTACCCATTCTGGCTTTCCTCAGCATACCTAAATTTCAAAATATCTGTTCTATGTTATATTCCCTCAGATCCATGTAGAGCTAATCAGTGAGCTCTAGCAGAAGTTACCCCTCCCAGTACACCTGCATATTAATTAACAGTGAGCATCAGCCAAAGAGCAAGTTATTTTAGGGAAAGTGAGGCAGAATCACGGTGCAGTGCAAGGAACACTAGGCTTGAGGGTCATGTGTCCTTGGTCTTATTCAGCCTATGTGACTTGGGGCAAATCAATTCATCTCTCTGAGTCTCAACTTCCTTAACTTATATATTTAAAAAAAGTGCTATAACAGTTGATCTTTCCATCCTGCCATATTCCACCATACAATGCTGCTTTTCTGATTTCCAGCCTCTCTGAATTTGATATGCTAGGTGTGTTGAACCGTACTATCTGAGAAAAATATAATGTAAGCCACATGTAATTAAAAAAAAAAAAATATATATATATATATATATATATATATATATATATATAATTGATTTTTTGGGGGATAGAGAGCTAGAAATGTCGATGAGAGAGATACATCAACCAGCTGCCTCCTGCAAACCCCCCACTGGGGATGTGCCTGTAACCAAGGTACATGCCCTTGACCAGAATCGAACCCAGGACCCCTGAGTCTGCAGACAGATGCTCTATCCACTGAACCAAACTGGTTTCTGCGCCACATGTAATTTTAAACATTCTAGTAGCCCCACAAAAAAAGTAAAAAGAAACAGTGAAAATAATTTTAATAATAGATTTTATTTAACCCAATATTTCCAAAACATTATAATTTAAACATGCAATCAATATGAAAATTGAGTTTCCATTCTTTTTTTTTTCATAGTTCAGGATTATATATATATATTACAATTTGCCTTTTTATAATACATTTGTGGCTTCATGATAAAAATAACTCGAGAACATATGGAATTCAAGCTAATTTACATAACTCACGAGAAAAAAGCATTATATGCATTCTGAAATGTTTTTCATTTAATTTTAGAATCTCAAAAGCATTAGACCTTGGCCTTGTTTAAAAAAAGTTTAGTTAAACACTAAAAGCTAGCTAAATAACCTTCTTGAAAGCTTTAAACACAATTGGTATAGAAAATGCTTTCCCTCTAAAATCAATCTTACATAATGGGAAGAGGTGAGGGGGAAAAGGTAGACAGTTTCTTTAGCAGCATATATGGCTAAATCCATCAACCACCATTACTGACCCCTTTAAAAATAACTAGCGAATATCAAAAGTTACACACTTCATAAACCAAAGGACAATAATTTTAGGGTTATGGTAATTAAAATATTTTTGAAACACTTCAAAAACTTTTAATATTAAACTAGAGGAGTCATCTCTTCATTGTAAGAAAGGCGTAACAGAAAGTGAAAGACATTTAAACTAAACTTATTTTCAATCCTCTTTGAAGAAAAGAAATTAAAAATAATGGCTGATTAGCTAAGCTTTGTGCTCTAACCAAACTAATTACAGTGATCTTTAAATGGCAACAGCCCATCTGGCTGGGTAGCTTGATCATTCTGAATAATTTTGCAATTTTTTAAAAAACACAAAGACACTAAAATGATCCGATCATGCAATGTTCATCTTATGCATTCTGCATTTCTTTGCCAATCTTGTAGCTGAGGATCTTGTTCCAATCAATTTTAGTGTAACTGGCAACTGTCGACGTAAGGCTTTGAAAGTTGTGTCCGACATTGTCTGATAATTCTCGCTGATGGCAGTCTGGTATTCATTTTCTGCAGCTTCTACAATCTTTATAAATTCTTTTGCTGTTTGCACCTCATTAGACACTGTTAGGGAATCTTGCATGTCTTTATGACTCACTAGCTGAACATTACCATCTTCATAATAATGAACCTGAATTTTCAAGGAGTGATTGTAAACTTCCACTCTGACCTCCAACGACCATTCCAAAAGTTTTTTGCTTGGAACTGATGGCTTTCTATGCATGCAATAATAGTTTGCTGTCCATCTATTTTTTTTTTTACCATATACAGTGCAGACCCCATTCGGATAATGTTCTTTTACATAAGCTCACAGGGCAGTTTCTACTGAAGTTCTCCATGATTCAATTGCATTCTCTGCTTCATACGGTCTTGGATCAGTTGCTTCCTTTCTTAAGTGATCAAATTTGAAACAGATTCTATTTTTTGGATCCAAAAACTTTCCATTTCCCACATCGCCATGTTCTGTTATCAATATCTGATCTTCATAACCTTCAATTTTTACTGGGGTAAACTGGTCCAAGTTATACTGTGCAAATGCATGGGCTGCTCCTTCCCTGAGAAGATTATCATTATTAAGCAGTAACCGGACATCATTAAACACTTCATTAAATTCTCCAGGAGGAGCATGAATGATGAATTTTGCTGCTATACGCACCTTCTCAGCAGACAACTGATCCTCCAGATACGCCATTTTCCTGCTGGCTGCTAACCGAGGCGGCGGCGGGGGCGGCGGCCACTCAAGTTGCCATTCTTTTTTAATACTAAGTCTACAAAAGTTAGTGTGTATTGTACATTTAAAGAACATCTCGATTTGGACCAGCCACACTTCAAATGCTCAAGAGCCACACATGATTAATGGCTACCGTACTGGCAGCACAGGTATATGTCTAAGAGGAAATCCTCGTTTCACTTCTGACCTTGTTAAGCCCAGAGTTGAAGACTGACATGAGTGCTAGCCTGCATCCTGAGAAAAATCAAAATCATCAGAGAAGTTCTGGTTGAGTTCCTTCCCTGACTAGGAAGGTAGGAGGGCAGAGTTCAGGGCAAACACAAATAGAGAACGTAGGAGGCTGCAAGAACAATAATGGGAACTTCAAAGAGAGACAAAAAATGAGTTGGGCATGGTCAGGTCTTCTTTATACTCAAGGTTTTCACAATACAAACCCCAAAAGCACACAGAGCTCCTATCATATCAATTATATCAATTCATTCCTTTAAATATCTGAACACCTAACTCCTAGACACTCGGCTGGGCAATGGAAATGCAGTTACCCTTCAGGAGAGCTCTCACTTGGGTCAGGATGACATGTTAAACACTTCATAAGTAGGATCTCAATTATTCATTCAAAGTGAGATAAGAACTCATTTATAAATGAGAACACTGAGGCTGAGAGAGGTTTGATCACTTTTCAAGTCACACAATCAGAGTGGTGGAATGAAGATCCAAACCTGACTCTTAAACATGGCATTGAGCCATACTTCCCAGCTTTAAAGATCTCATGGTCCTGGAGGCAATAAACAATGTCACAATTATGAGGCCATGGAGTCACTACCACAGAAAGGATGTAAAATAAGGACTGGAAGTAGGGGGCGTTAAGAAAAGAATCCCAGGGGAAACCTTGTGTGAGTCTGGAAAGTTGAGGAGCTCATCAGGTGAAAAGGGGAGGAAATGGACATTCCACAGAGAACAGCAGAAGTGTGAAGGAGCATACAGTGTTCAGAAAACTGGTTGGTGGGGCAGCTAGAGGGCAGTGTGCATAAGAAATAGAGGTCCCACATGAAAGTGGAAGTGTGAGCCAAAACCAGTGCATAAGGGGCCTGAAATTCCATGAGGAAGAATGTAGGTTTTATCCCATGAGCCATGGGAAGCCTTAAAAATTTTGTTTAGGGTAGTGAACAGTACCACATTTTCATTTTAAGAAATCATTCTAAAGGAGAGATTTCAAAGCTCATCTGTCTCCCTTCCTCTCCTAGGTTTGTTAAATCTATTAAAAGTCCATGTGTAAAGGCTAAAGATTTGTTTCCTGGAGTTAGATCACATCTAGGAACTTATCTCCCAATGGCCTGTTAAGTTTACTTACTCTGCCCATGTTACTAAACAGAAGTTGTTGACTTGCAATTCTTGAAAATCAATGCACAATAAGCTAAAAGCACCTCCTTTATTCTTGGCATCAGCACTGCCAGAGTTCCCGACAAAGGATGATTTGCTTGGCCAGCTTCTGCTGGAAAACCTTGCATAATTTTTTTTTCCCCCTCCCCTCCCTGCTGTAATTTGACTGTCTGCTTGTTGCTTTACTGTCTCTATCTCTATCTTTTGGTTCTTCAGTTTATAATGCTCTTTATTACCCATAAATGAGTGAGGTCATGTGGTGTTTCTCTTTCATTAACTGGCTTATTTCACTCAGCATGATGTTCTCCAATTCCATCCAGGTTGCTCCCTTGCATAATCTCTTTTTTTTTTTTTTTAAATATACTTTATTGATATTTTTTTAATATTTTTTTTTATTTTACACAGAGAGGAATTGAGAGGAACAGAGAGTTAGAAACGTCAATGAGAGAGAAACATCGACCAGCTGCCTCTTGCATACCCCCCACTGGGGATGTGCCTGCAACCAAGGTACATGCCCTTGACCAGAATCGAACCTGGGACCCTTCAGTCCGCAGGCCGACGCTCTATCCACTGAGCCAAACCAGTCCCGACCCTTGCATAATCTTGATGGCACAGTAGTATTTTACATTTACTTGCACAGAAACACGTAAGATTCTTGTGGCCAGAGACAGAAAATGCTGAAATATTTCAGGTGCTCAAATTCTGAGGCCCCATATCTCCGTTCTCTAACAAGGAATAAAATTGTTCACTGCCTGCATAACCCTCTCCCCAGCCCTCTATGCACATCCCTTCCAGCTCCCTGATTACCCGGTTCCATTTTCAGATCACCAACCTCTAAGGCTGGCCTTCTTTTCAAGGCCACAACTAGCAGAAAAACATCTGCATTATACAAATGATAAATTATAATTAGAATAGGATATAGAAAGGGGAAACCAGCAAGTGTCTACCAGAAAGCAAGGATTCAGGCAGAACTGGTGAAAAAGCCATTAGACAAAGCACAAAAATACTACTGCATGGCAGGGAAAGGGCTTGACCAGAGGGAAAGAGACGGCAGCAATACTGAGTGTAACCAAATGGGCTGGCCACCGACTGCCTGGAAAACCGAGCTGAAGCCCAAGAAGCACCAAGCAAGATCACTTTACCCAGTGAGAAGAGCGAAGCAGACTCATTTTGTTCTCAGTAATCACCTGGGTGGTTCTGAAAGTCATGCCCTGGTCTGAATAGAGATTGGGCCCAGACTGTTTTGAGTCCATTGCAAAACCATGGAAATTGTGTACAGATAAACAACCAGGCCAGAGCATGAAGAGCATAAGAGAGAAAAGAAGAGGCCCTCTCAGGTGGCACTCTGGCTAACTAAAGGCCTGGTCGAAGGGTAAGGTGTTCAAGGGCTTCATTCACACAATGATAAAAAAAATCAACCCCTTGCCTTTGCCAAGAAGATGGAATGTTTCATAAATACACTCTCCATTCCCAAGCTCCTCCTTAACAAGGCATCTCTGGGTATAAGAGGGAACTGTTCTGGAGGACTTGTGCCCTCTGGCCCCACTTTGTTTCCATATGACCTGACACCAGCCAAGACAGTTCATGTGATTGGATTAGCTCTTCCTAGAATTAAGCTGGCCCCACTCCCATAGGGGCCCAGCCAGCAACAGGAAATTGGTGCCGTGGATAAGTTGTTCTGCTGAGGTGAGGTGAATGGGGAAGACCACTCAGTCCCGGATGGAGAGCTAGTAGACAGAAGAAAACACAGCCTCCCGGATCCAATGGAAGAGCTGAGCCAGCTTGCAGAGGAAGGGCAGGGAGGAAGGAGATGCTAGAGGGAAAAAGAATATTATTGTCAATGTAACTTCCTTCACTCCCCTTTTCTTCACCTATCCCATTTCCCATCCCTCAGGAACCCTACCAAATTGGGAACATAAGGATTCTTTTGGAAGCATATTTTGACTCTTAATGTTATTTCCTCAACAATAAAGAATTCCACTTTCTCTAGGACATATTCTCTGAAATATACTTTCTTCACTTAGATTACAACGATCTTAAATTTTCTGAGAAAAAGATTCAAATATATTAGGTTTTCCTTTTTTTATATACAAAAAACTGCTAATGTGACTTTCTGGTGTGTTGAATTTGAGAAGAGACTTTTTACAATTCATCTCTATATCTTAAATTTGGAGCCATGTGACAGTATTACCTATTTTTGTTATATTAAATATACTGAAATTAAAGCAAAATTCACCTCTTTGGACTTAAAGCTGAGTTGGTTTGTTTTTCATTATTTGAATTCCTGATTTGTTTTTAATTTTTAAAATTTATTTTAGAGAGAGGAAGGAAGAGAAAGGGAAAGAGAAAGAGAGAGAGAGAGAGAACATAGATGCATTGATGTGAGAGAGAAACATTGATCAGCAGCCTCCTGAGCGTGCCTTGAGATCGAACTCTCAACCTGGGTATGTATCCTGACTGACAATCAAACCTGCCACCTTTCAGTATACAGAACTGAGCTCTAACCAACTGAGCCAAACCAGCCATTCCTGATTTTTTAACTGATTCTTTTTTCTTTCTTAAAAAGGAAAATATTATTTTTTAAGAAAGCTATTGACAGACTATCTTCAGTATATCCTTTCTATGGAGGTAAACTGCAGCCCATTCATGAGTCCTCCTTTCCCATAACACCACCACTATAATGAGTAATGACTACCACTGGAGGTCAGGACCATCAGCCAGGGCACTTCCGAAGAAGTCTGAGCAGCTTTGCGAACAGCAAGCTCAAATGGCCTCTTGGCACCTGCACGTAGGAGACCAGGGTTTATGAAATGAAAGGGCTTAAAAAACCATAAGAATTTTCCTAAATTTTTATCAAGTCTCTGGAACAACGGAGAAAGTCAGAAGATAGTGTCTGCTAAAGCCAACCCATGGAGAGATAAGGGTGAAGACCTAGGGAGCGGTTGGGAGCAGGACACAGTGGGTCAATAAAGATAAATTTTTAAAAAGTCAGAGGATAGATATGAATGAATACAAACTATCTTAGCTTACCTGAGGCTAACTAGTGATTCTTTCCCAAAGCATACAGAGCTATTCAGAGGGAATTCCTGCTCAGAGTTCAGCAAAGGGGTGAAAAAGACAACTTTGAGCAATACAAAGAAAAAGTTTCATTGAATTAGAGAAAGGGAAATGGAAACCTAAAAATTAAATTAAAAACTGGCAGTTTGAAAGACAAATTATGTGTGTGATCCTGGGCTAATCACTTTTCTCTGTGGTTCTCAAGTTTCTCAATCCGAAAAGAAAGAAAAAAGAAATAAAAGTACTGGAATAAGGGTTTTTAGTTTTACCTCTGGTTTTGAAAGTTATATAATTGTATTCTAAGTCTAAATTCATGAGAAGAGTAGAGATTAGACATAACTCACATAGAGGGGAAAAAAATCTGAAAGCGTGAACTCCTATCCTTTGGCCCAGTGCTTACATGTCTGAGGAATTAATCCTCAGGAAATAACCAAGGTTGTTCTCAAATAGTACTTAGGAAGCTCAAGTCTGCTTTACAGCACTGCAGAAAACAGAATACGAAATAATTAAAATGTTCTGCAATGGGGAGTTGTTAAAATCAATTATGGGACTTTCTATAAATTGGAATATTATTTAGCCATTTAAGGTCATGTTTTAAAAAATACTTGCCATATGCAAAATTTACTTATGTCCATATATACATATAAAAAATGCTGAAAGTATAACCATTATAATAGCAGACTTACAGGTGATTTGTTCTCTTCTTTAAATTTTTCCTATTTTCCATATTTCTAAAATGTATAAGTATTTCATTTACAATTTGAAATGTTTTAAATTAACACAGTTTTTTAAACATATGAGGAAGATTTTCTTTTTTTAACTCTGAGGTTCTATTCAGAGTTCAATCCTGCATAAAGTACATGATAAAGTACATGATAATGACTCAAACTCAGTGTTCAAGAGTCAGCAGGGTAGACGTTTTCTCTCATAGACCACAGCACTAGTCTCTCCTGGTGGGCTGGGCCAGCTCTTGCTCAGGTCCAGCAATTCCTCCTTATAGAAGAGACTCAAAGAAATGGCACAGGAGGTACCTCCATCCCCAAGAGGGCTCCCACAGGCCCAGTCCTTGTCAACTGCCCCTTCTCCGGGAAGGGTAGAAGGAGAGTAGGCTTCATCACTCACCTGGATCAAGCCTCACCACCAAGAGGCAGAGAATCAAGGTGGCCAGGAGGCTCTTTTTGAAGGGCAGGGAAAAGAAGTGGCTCACTGCAGAGTCCCAAAGCCGGCGAAGCAACATCAGTAGTGACAGAAACTTGTGGGAGGAGTCTGGTCAGGGAGACAGAGCATAACTGTAAGTTAAGTTACAGGAACCAGCTTCCCTAAGTCTGAGCTTTGAGCTTGATTATAAGAGTTGAACAAAAGGTAATTTTAGAACTCATGTAACTCATAAAGTGGTTCTAAAGGAGATTCCGAAGCTCCAACAATGTTTTAAGGACTGTATCACCAGACTATCATTTCCATAGGGGCGAACTTTGACAGACCACATCTACTTAGCTAGGAAAATCTGGCTTATTTGGTGTTTTTCTAAATATCCTATTTTATAATATTATTTATATTTTAGCCTAAGATACATGCATAGAGTTACACAGAACAATAGGTCTTGATTATCACAATAATGCAGGAAAATGAAGGGCACTTACCACACATAGTGAAGAATTCAAAGATCCTGGATTATGAATATAAACATGAACACTACAAGTGGTGCCCAGTCCTGATAGAACACTCTGAATTTGCCATCAAACCACTATCTGCTCCCTCCGCCCCATGGGTGTAGGGGTAGAGGGCTTGGAGATCCTTAGGTAATCCCTGAAGTCAACATGTCCTATTTGCAAAAAAGTGATCCTGTCTCAGCAGGTTCATGCTCACACACACACATACACAACAACTACAACACTTAAGACAACAGTATTACAGTTTCCTACAGCTGAAGGGCTCTTGGGGGGGGGGGGGGGGACTCAACCTGTTCTATATATTATGACTAATACATTAGAAACCACCAAGAGCGGGCAGTGGGGGACTGAAATTCATGATAAAGAACAATTTCCTTTCCGAACTGCCATTGATGAAATGAGCTGCTTTAGAAAATACGTAGTGAATTTCTGCACTTAAACGTATTTATGTACAGTTTAGAAGTCTAGATCACTCAAGGAAAAGGAGATGAAAAGGATTAAAGAACCAGGGGAAGGGTCTGGAGTAGAAGAACTTTTAAGTCCCTTTGTAACAAATCAACACCCAAACCCACCCCTTTGCAGGTTCCCCTTGTATGATGCTAGCTAGGTGTACGGTGTTGAGTCCTGAAGTGGTTTCTCTACAGAAGCCAGTCTATAAATCTGCACTCTACTGTGCGGAGGTGGGCTATCCATGAAGGGGGTGGACATCAGTCACTGGAAAAGACACCCAAGAGGTCTGATGAGTGAGGCAGGTGGGAGATTGAGCAGAGGCACCCAAACTGAAGATAAGTAATTTTTACCTCATAAGTCAAGTTACCAAGTTATTATGTTAGTTTCTCGTTATCTTTTGGCTATCCCAAGCATACCTCAGCTATGTCTACATTTGCACTAGCATTTAAAGGAATAACATCCTACCTAGCCCAGCATAGTACAGACAAGAGATCTAATGAGAGGACCCCAAGGAGATGGTGACTTTTAGGAGAAAAGAATCAAGGTCCTGAGACCCAGCAACATATGAAGATTTTCTTTCCACTACCTATTTTAGCATGTCTGGACTTTCTAAGCAACTCAACCAGTTTCCAATCCTGGTTTGGGAGTTACTCATAGAAAGAATTGCTCCCAAGCTCCCAGGAATGTCATGATGGACCCCAAGGTCCAGAGAAAAGTCCACAACTATACTTTAAAGAAGCCACAGAAGGATAATATCCTACCGTCCTGGGTGAGCTTCTGGTCCTCCTCAGAGTCAGAGTGTTCATGTTTCTGCTGTTGCCTTGCTATGCTGATGACCTGGAGTACATCCAGCTGCTGCTCCTCACTGAAGGCTGCAGAGCCCACCACTAGCTCCTCAGCCTCCGACAAGCAGCCCAGAGGCAGCAGCACCTGCTGCAGGTAAAGTTCTGCCAAGGCTCTGTATTCTGGAAGGCCCTGATTGTCTGGGTCTTGGATCCAGGCACTGGCCGCTTCCAGCATGGCTCCAGGCTCTTGCATTTTGCTGTATAAAAGAACACTGCAGCCCAAAATAATCCAATCCAACCCCCAAAAAAAACAAAACAAAACAAAAAAAACAGTCAGTGTTCCACAGTTGGTTCATTTCTCATAAAAACTGTATTCTTTTATCCAGCTCCTCCCCTGTGTCCTCCAGCCCTTCCTTATGGAATGCTGACATTGAAAAGAATTAGGAATTCCTAGAAAGTAGCAAAAAGTTCTCTTCCACTATGACACTCCACTCTGTCATCCCATTTTACATCTCCTATTCCCAGTAGCCTCTACTCTTCCTCTTTCCTTTGACCCACTCCTAAATCCCTCCTTCCTCATACTTTAGTGCTGTTTTGAGGTCTGAAAAAAAAATCAGATTTGGAGGAAAATAGTAGGGAATGTGAAAGAGGAGGTATTAGGCACTGATTCAGAAGAGAATAAAAGTCTTCATTTCTGAAATGACCCAATGAGTCAGTAACAAGGACCTACCACAGCTCCAGGACTTTGGGGGGTAGCTTTTCAGGGACCTGGTAATACTGAAGAACCCAGGAAATAACTTCCCGCCACCGATCCATTTCTGCCAGGGCCTGGATCCCCACAACACACAGGGAGCATTTCACTTCTAAGGAACTGTCAGCAGAAAAAACAACTCAGGTTTAGAAGCGGCCCCCCTCCATTTCCATTCACACCTCCCTGGGACTGTTCTTCCCCACCTTCCAATTTAGCAGCTGTTGTCCTCACAATTACAATTGGTCTAATGGGCCCCAATGTAGAGAAAACTGCCCATTCTCCTAGAAATTAAAAGTTCCTATAAACCTGCTAGAGGCAAATCAACTCTTGCCCAACATCTTTTTTAAAATATATTTTTATTGCCAAAACCGGTTTAGCTCAGTGGATAGAGCATTAGCCTGCGAACTGAAAGGTCAAGGGCATGTACCTTGGTTGGGGGCACATCCCCAGTAGGAGGTGTGCAAGAGGCAGCTGATTGATGATTGTCTCTCATCGATGTTTCCAACTCTGTATCCCTCTCTCTTCCATTCTGTAAAAAATCAATTAAAAAAATAAAAATAAATAAATATATATATATATATATATATATATATATATATATATATATATATATATTTCAGAGAGGAAAGAGAGAGATAGAAACATCAATGATGAAAGAGATTCATTGATTGGCGGCCTCCTGCCCCCCACTGGGGGTGAGCCCACAACCCAGGCATGTGCCCTTGACAGGAATCGAACCTGGGACCCTTCAGTCCATAGGCCATGCTCTATCACCAAGCCAAAACGGCTAAGGCTTGCCCAACATCTTTGTATGCAGGTGTACTTTCCCCTTTGTATGCCAGAAAGAGAAAAGTACACCTGCAACACAGGTGTGTGGGTGGAAAGCGAGCTGGAACTAACAGTTTGTGTGAAGAAATGGGCATGGAGCCTGAGTGTGGGAATCCACTGGCCTTAGTGCCAGCCAGTGAGGTACCTCCAGGCACCAGGAATCAGTCTTCAGCGTTTACTGTAACAAGCTCCAATACAACCCCTAAATCACAACCAGGGCTCCTCGGCTTTGACTATTCTACCCACCACCTAATGTGTGATCTAATCCAATTTTACAGCCCACAGAAAAATGATGTCCTCAAAAAAAAAAAAAAAAAAAAAAAAAAAAAAAAAAAAAAAAGAAAAATGATGTCCTCAAGTTCCAGAAGAGGCTAGAAGCATTAACAAAGGCAGTGGAGGGCAAGGTTTTTCTCTAGTTTGATTCTTTAATCCAGCTCTTCAGCAGAATCAGAACCCTATTACCACTCATCAGCCAAGACCATACGAGAACAACTTAGGGATGGGGAGTGTACCTAGAAAAGTACTGAGCCTGCTTATGGAAATAATGTAGTACAGTACACATTCTATCTTCCCATCACACCATCACATTGGAGCAGGGAGCAAAGAATTGGTTAAGCTCTGCTCAGGGCTCAGTTTTCTCATCTGTAGAATGGGCACATCAGCCTGTTAGAGGCTTCTTGTGTCCATTCTGGGAATGACAGGTTCCCGAAATGCTGGACCCTCCCCAGGCAATCCCCGCACATACGTGCCCACAGGCCCGTCAGCCAGGGCGTAGTTGCTCAGGCTCTGGCCGGCTCGCACGCAGGTGTGCAGCGCCTCCCGGAAGTCCCGGTGCACCACTAGGTGGTCGGCCGCCTCCTCCAGAAGAGCCTCGGCCGCCGCTGGTGACGGGACGACGCGCACCGTTTCGCTGCTGCTTAGGGCACCCCCGACCCCCCTAAGTGGGGCTGCAGCTGTGGATGGGTCATTCTTCATAGCAGCCAGGTTCAAGGCCTGTCTCTACAGACGTCCACGTGGCCCTCTCCGGGGCTCCGGGAGAGCCCTATTCGGTCTGGGAGAAGTGGGCAGTCCTCACGGCCGTGTCCACAACCTGGAGGCCAAGTCCTGGACAAGGAAAAGAAAGGGGCTATATTCTAAGGCTAAAGCTAGCCTCGCCCGGCACCATCGATGTGCAGAACGGCTGCGTGCCTAAAGTACCTGGCCTAGCTTCTCGTCCCCACAACGTGAACAGATACACCTAAGCCCTGGGAGAATGCGAGTGTATGCTACTTGGGAAGAACAAAGCCACTCACCCAAGGAATAAATGATCTCTTTCCTGTTCTCGCTGCTTCCGGCACGGTTTTGGCGGCGCGCGGCACTCTGGGAGTTGTAGTTTTTCGGCCCTCGACTCTAGCTCTAATAACGCAAATAGGCAGATTTTGACTACAACTACCAGCATGCCCCGTGCCCCAAAACTGCCTGTCACGGGAGAAAACAAACTGAGAGCAGTCCTTTGAGCCAGGAATATCAAAGGTGAGGTTATGTTTAGAGATGAGTTGGCCCCCTTACTAACCAGACCTAGAAGAGGCCAGGCAGAAGAAATTCCAGTAAGGAGCCAAAACCGGTTTGGCTCGGTGGGTAAAGCGTCGGCCTACGGACTGAAAGGTCCCAGGTTCGATTCCGGTCAAGGGCATGTACCTTGGTTGCGGGCACATCCCCAGTAGGGGGTGTGCAGGAGGCAGCTGGTCCATGATTCTCTCTCATTGATGTTTCTGTCTCTCTATCCCTCTCTCTTCCTCTCTGTAAAAAATTCAATAAAAATATATATTTTTAAAAAAACTTATTATGCTTAAAAAAAAAGAAAGAAAAAGAAAAGAAAAAGAAAAAAAAAAAAAGAAATTCCAGGAAGGAAATGACTAGTCACTATTACACACACTGACCACCAGGGGGCAGACGCTCAATGCAGGAACTACCCTCCGGTGGTCAGTGCACTCCAACAAGAGGCTGGTGAGTAAAGCGGCAGTAGCGGGAGCCTGTCCTGCCTCCATAGCAAAGCTAAGGATATCTGACTGCCAAAGCTGGCTCCCCACAGGCTGGGCTGAGGGACACCACCCTGGTGGTCAGTGTGTGTAATAGTGACTAGTCATTCCACTGCTTGGTCAATTTGCATATTAGCCTTTTATTATATAGGATTAACAGTTTTCCTGGGGGTGGAGTAGAAATTGCTTATCTTTCTCAGTGATTTCATTATTTTGTGTACTTACAAGAGCAATAAGTGTTTATTATGGGTAAAAATACAAAACATAGAAAAGGAGATAATACCTCAAACATAGCATCCTGAGATAAGCCCTTATAATGTTTTCACCTACATTATATTCTCCCAGAAGTTTTCTTACGTAGGAATTTTTATATTTATGTTTGTATGGATATATTCATATATTTATGTATAAGAGATAAGATCATATTTTAGTTTTTTTTTTAACATGCTTATATCACTGTAGTAGGTTGAATTATGTCCCCCAACAAGATAGGCACAAGCTTTAAACACCTATACCTCTGAATATGACCTTATTTGGAATTATTGAAAAATGAGAATATGTAATTAATGTTGAGATAATATTGGATTTAGGATGCACTGAGATAAGGAGTCATTGGAAAGTGAAGAATGTTAACAGAAAATGTAGAAAACTTTTTCTGAAATTTGACTTAAGGGCTGAGAGACAGATATTAATTTTGCAGGTGAATGGAAGTGATGGGAACAAGGAAGGTTTAAAAAAATTTTTTTTCAATTTCTTCAAACTTGAGCAAGTTTTAAAGATTATATACAGGAGCCCTGGCCAGTGTGGCTCAGTTGGTTGGCCATCGTCTTGTGCATGAAAAAGTTGCCGGTTCGATTCCAGATCAGGGCACATGCCAGGGTTTTGGACTCGATCCTTGGTAGAGGTCTGCAGGAGGCAGTCGATATATGACTCTCTTTCTTCCTCTCCCTCTCTCTGTAAGAAATCAATAAAAATAGAAAAAGTTTATACACAGCAGCTATCTCATATCAGATTTAACTCTTGAATTTGCCCAGATTTTCCTTATTTGTGCAATAGGGTTAATGGGACGCCTCCAGCAGAACAGTATGGGTTTTGAGTTCAATATACATTTAGTTACAAGTGAGGAAATGAAATAATGGATAATTGTACAACAGAGAAATGTTAGTAATTCTTGGATGTTTGCCTCTCAGGGACGTAGCAGATGGATGAAATCCTGGTGTGCTATGGCTGTATAATGCATGATCTGAGCAACCCTGCACCAGTGACAGCAAGACAGGTCCAGAATTTTCCTATAAATATATTAAGATAAGGAGCCTTCCAGGAGCAGCAGGCAAGCAGTCACCACACCTTGCTGCCTGGTGTGATCTCACTGAGCTCACCAGGTGAGTAATAGACAAGCCTGTCTTCCCTGCCTGGGAACTGGCAGGGAACTGATGAGGATCTGTTCAGAGGCACAATGTGGAGCAGCTCTTAGGAGCTTCTGGGACACCCCAGAGAGTAGAACATCTGTGTCTCCAAAAATTTGAACTCATAGCATGTCAGAAAGATATTTTCTTCCTTCATAAAAAAAATCTTCCCATTAGGAGAAACGATGAAAAATGACTTCACAATGTCCACCTTGGGCCTGAGGCCCAGCAAGCCCCCACTGCTGTGTCCCCCCAACACTAAAGGCCATTGAAGTCCCACCACATGCCATGTACTCAGGTTTGCTCATTTACCCCTCTGAGCAGCTCTGTGCCAAGTCAGCCTGAGTCCCACTTCACAGATGACCAAGCTTGGGCTGACAGAGCCCATGTCATTCTCCAGATAAGTGACAGGATGGGAATGGGGTTCCATCACCCGCCATTTCTAGAGGACTCAGAGCAGCCTCCCTCTGGAAGATGGACTTCCCGGGCAGGAGAAGTAATCAGATCACACTTCCTGCTATTGTGGTCCCAAAGGGATGGCCCTCCACAACCCTCTGGATGACGAAGATGACAGAGGAGATGAAATCCTGTCCTTGTTCCAAGAGACATGTTTGGTGATCCCTGAAGGAGAGAATTGGGATCCAGCAGAAGCTCAGGTGTTGCCCCTGGGACAGGTGATCTAGAGGAAAGGGAAGTGGTATGTATGGACCTGGTTTCAGAAAATGCACTTTATATTTCATCTCCTTTCATTCTAACAACTATTTACATTACCTATTATTATGAACAATACTCATAGCAGGCTACTGACGTTAGAGGAGTATGTGTACCTCCGAGAAACACTTTTTCTTGTCTCCTGATCAGCTGCTCACTCTGGAATTGTCTTAAAGTTTTCCCATTTTGTCCTTATGCTTCCAGGGTTCTGAATGCCCTAATCTCCCCCATCAGATACCAACACAGACCCCTTTGGATCAGGGGGTAAAAGTAGCACTAGTGAGAGATGCAGGAAAATTTCAATTTATAAATATATTTTTATATATTGTTTGCAAACTTGTACTCAAGGAGAATGGAACTTTGATAAAACTGAAAAAAATAAAATATTTCTGAACAGGTCAACACAGATAATGAGCATGTATTTTCTTTCTTTTTTTTTTTTTTAAATATATTTTATTGATTTTTCACAGAGAGGAAGGGAGAGTGATAGAGAGCTAGAAATGTCGATGAGAGAGAAACATCAACCAGCTGCCTCCTGCACGCCCCCCACTGGGGATGTGCCCGCAACCAATGTACATGCCCTTGACCGGAATCGAACCTGGGACCCTTCAGTCCGCAGACCGACGCTCTACCACTGAGCCAAACCGGTTTTGGCAATGAGCATGTATTTTCATTACATATTCATTTTGTTCAATTTCATGGGGAAATGAAGTGGATTTTTAAAAATCGAATTGAGTGTGTGTGTGTGTGTGTGTGTGTGTGTGTGTGTGTGTGTGTGTGTTCTCTCTAGCTTTATCACCTGAAAAACACATTCACAGTTACAACTTTACCCTCACTTCGACCAGAGCTGGACTTCCAATCTGAAGGTTAGATATGCCATAAACTGTGCTTTTATATCCTAGAAAAGTAATGGGTACAGAGGATGATTAAGTGAAAATCCAGAGAACGCTGGCTGTACCCACAAATTCAACCTCCCAACTTCCATCACTTCCTCTGGCCTTATGCAGCCCCTGGTCTGATTCTCAGAGCTGCAATCCTGGACCAGGCCACCAGGTGGCATCACATCTTTCAATGTTTATGCTTTTTTTTTTTTTTTTCTTTTACTGAAAAGGAGTACATTTTGCAAAGAGTAAGAATATTTTGAAAAGGTTTGTTTACTAAGATGCCAATTCTCTGTGAAAGATTCATATGTATATTAAAGCAGTTCCCTCTGTCATTGACCCCAAATCTACATCGCGTTCATTGATTCATCTCTTCCCTCATCAGTGTCTGTTGATAAACAGTGAGGATTGTACAAGACAGTCCTTGCCAGAAATTAGGGCTTCCACCTTCCATTATTATTCCTCCGCATACAGGTTGCCGTGTCCTTCTCTTCCACACATTCTTCCTGTCATCCCCATCCAGGACACTATGGACACAGCTGCCCAGACCCCACTCTATGCCCCATGCTCTCTGTTACCTCTCACCCCCTGTCCCTTTCCCCCACATCACTGCTACCTGGTGTTTCATCAGGTGCAAGTTCTAGAATGTATGTTTTTACAGTCTTCTTTTATACCTACGTTATTTTTCATTGAGTATTAGAGTCATTCCATGCATAGGCTATGGGCTGAATTTTAAGGGAGGGTATTATATGTTTTTCTCTTAGAATAAACTTATTTGTGAAGGAATTTGAAAGTGGTGGTACTTGGTGCCACCTCCTGACAGAAGTCTGAGCTGCAACTAGAACATCAAGAAGCCTGAAGGTGTGAAGGAGTGAGGGAGGGAGGAAGGGCCTGTGGACCAAACCCACCAGACAGAGCTTTCTGGAAATCTGGGTAAATGATTGGGTTGGGCTATTCTG